TGATGCACTACCTTGACTTCTTTCACTGAATATTTCTGAAGGGAGGACTGAATGTTACATAATACTATCTCTTTTAAATATCCTTGGATCTACACCTTATAAAATTAAAATGTAGCTGTTTGATCTAAGCAAACATAAGACGAAGGAATTTAATATAAAAGAGGAACAAAATAAAAAGAGAATATATTTTGTAGAATATTCTTTAAGGATGTACTTTGCACGCTTACTATAATAAAGTTATTGTATCAAGTTAAATTTATGTATATGATGTGCCTTTTTGGACAGACCATGTTTTTCCTTGCACATTCTTCAGTAATATAAAAGGTACACGAATAATGATCACATTTTTGATCATTTATAAGAAACTGAGATAAGGAGCATTACTCTTCAATCCATAGTACTGCGATAACATTTCTAAGTAGCTGCAAACTGATCGGTCATAATTCGAATACACAGCGAGTCAAATAAATCAACGTTTAATTAACAACTGATATACATCACCGATGATTTCACTCGCAGTAAGAGAGACAAAAACTACAGAGCAGCACCAGATACAAGGACTGTACGCCAATTAATCTGTGCTCGATGGAGTGCCTAACAAAGAAACGACAAGACTATCTTTACGAATAGTTTTCACACAATCTGTCTTCTCATGACAACTGGATAAAAAAATAAAACATACTGACATGTAACACTTATAAACTGACGCAACACAACCAATCAAATATAAAATGAATGAGTCTTCAGTAAAAAAAAAAAAAAATATCGACTTCGCAATACGTCAAAAACAGGTTGCACCATAAAACGAGATGCAAGAAATCTTAATCGAAAAAAGATTCGCACAAAGCACGCATCCTGCTCCGAAACTTCAGTCACGTCCTCGAGCTGTTCAAAACATTTGTCGAAACGTCGTGAAACGCACACGGAAGAATGAACGATTCGACAATCCGCAGTGGTTCATCGATACAACGAACTGTCGACGTAAAAGGAAAAGAAGAAGAGAGAGAAAAAAAACGGAAGAAATGAAAAGAGCATTCAGCTTACCGCTAATGCGCCTCATGGCGGCTCACTATACGGCTCGTATCCAAAAACTGTCGGGCTGGTCGATCCAGCGGGGTATGCAAGTCTTCCTGTTCACTATAAACACCATGCCACATGTACGAACACCGATCATCACCTACGCCGTGCACACATCGATTCGGGAACGCGAGATTCCCGCGCCATTGTACACCGACGGCGAAAACTTTTCTCTCGTACGAGGAAGATAACCTGGCCTCACGGTGCACACCGTCTCTTCCCAAGCTACGTTAACAAGAACAACCGGACAGTCCGTTGAAGCAAAGGCGACATAATGCGAGCAGGCGAATCGCGGAGCTTCTCTCGTTTACGGGAAAACACGAATAAGTACGCCGGGGACACACGGTCTGCGACGTTGGACGTGCCTCGTACGCGATCGGGAAACAACGACCGAGACCGTAGTAGAAAACCACTTCGTCGCGACTTCTCACGTAGCACTGTCGTGCTGTAGTATCGAATGCCACCGTTAGAGCGCCCAACCGATCGGTAACGATAAATCTCCACCTTGTATGGATTTATAGTGGGTCAAAAAAAAGCGTTTCTACACCCAGTTTTTTCGTGATGATCTCCTTTCGTAAAACAGAGCGATCGAAATTCGTATAAACGTGCTTGATAGTCTATATTTTCGACAGGTCTCAAGTACATTAACATTTATGTACACAGTTGCTCACAGAATTGAACGCACACAAAAATTAAACTAATTTCATATTTTTGTTGAACATAAACCAACAATTCGTTTCGTTGAAAAAATATTGTGTACTAATTCTGAGAGCAATCGAACCAAGTAAACTATTAAAATAGAGGATGATCTTCGGAAATTTTTTATAACGTAATATGTATATACTCTTTGATACATAAATTTGTATTATATTATTATTAAAAGTTTTCGGAGCGACGCATTATTACTCTTTTTGTATTTTTCTAAAAAGGATTTAGATTCATATGATGCGTAGTTCCATTATGAAAAGAAATTCCGTTTTATTTTTTGTTCTGGATCGAAGGAAAAAATGCTAGACTGTACGCAGCAGGTTCCTGGAGAACACGATTTATTATTTCGGTAAACGTCGATAAAATGTAACGAAGAAAATGCTATATACTTGTAATTCAAAGAATATATATGGTAGGTAACGGAAAGTTTCATCGATGTTTTACGCTATAAAAAAATTGCCGAAGATCATTCTTATTCGAACAGTTCATATTTCTACACCGCTGATTTGGATAGCAATTGAACTTTTCATTCCGTTAACGTATTTTTGGAAATAGATCTTAAAATCAACAGTGTAAAATTATTCAAATCTATTACATTGTTATTGTTTATTTTAGAAGGGGTTGCTTCTACCACGACACACAGATAGCAAGAGAACGGTAGCAACGAAACAAAGATTTATTTAAAGTAATTGCAAAATACAAACAATCCGTTCGTTGTTTTGAATCAGCAATATTTCAATTGCATTTCTTAATAAACACGGGAATCTAATTACAACTTATATTAAAAACGATTCCTGATGTCATTAGGCATACACGCGTCACGTACGCATACGTTGCACCGTTGAACAGTTAAAGTCAGATGGTGTATTTAAAAGAGATATGGAAAGTAAATGTACAAAGAGATTAGATAAGAATTCTTCCCAAAAATATCAAAGGACAAAATCGTGTTTCTTTCCCACGTAGAGACCTAGCAAATACCTGCCTTTTTACAAATTCGTTTTGAAATATGAGAAATGTTTTTCTCAGTGGCCAAAGTCATGTATCGAAGTAATATTTACTTCGGATAAAATAAAAGCAGTCGCTTTTTAATGTGTTACATTAGCTAATGTAATTATTACTAATTGCTAATACAATTAGCTACACGCAATTCGATTTGGAATATTAAAAGCCGGCGAAATTACAGAAAGGACATTTGAATGATAGCACGTGGCCTCCATCGGCTTATCTGAACTAATTTTACGAAGTTTGATGAGCAGTTGCAGCCGTGTATTCCCATTCTAGATATACGGCAGCAAGAAGTAAAGCAAACGACCTAATTAACGTAACCGTGAAGGAACTAGGTAACCTAATTGCTACTTACTGCGAAGGATCTAATTGGTGGACATGCTAAGAATATTTTGCAAGAGGCGAATACTCTCGAGAAGCTTCGTTTCCGATTTAATGTTCTTTTTCATTTCTAAATTAATATCTTTCAATTCAATCAGATAAGTAAATTCTTAGTACGTAATTTCGGCAATAATTAACCCTTATTTCCCATTTAAATTTATAATGATCGAGAGCGAGAACAATACGAGAATTGAAACGAGATCGAAATCGAGAATGAGAAGAACGATAGCGAGAACGAGACCAAAAGAAGCGCGGCAAATTCAAATATATTTGTTGGTCCGTCTCAGAATTACGTACATTCTACGTAATCGTTCTACACAAAATACAAACAAAATTAATAATTCGTATTAATATTAATTCCCATGAATCAGAATTAACAAAAGTTGAACAAATTACGCACTTCAAGACGATGCTACAAGATGTATATGTCACTCTGCCATCTATGTACATACTAAGGCATGAACAACGGCGCAAAATCGATTATAACCCTTAAATTCAAATCCTGTTTGTTTTTGCAATTTATGAGGATCAAGTGATACATTCCTGCCCCGTTCGAGCAAAATTTCTTTCTCGACACTCTCCGCATTATCCTCGCAACAGCACCATAAATACTGCCACGTGCTCCCTAACAGGCGTCCGTTGTGCGGGATCAAGAAGTTAATGAGCGATCGTCGTAAACTATTGTAAATATCATTCGAGTAGAGTACGACGAGGCTCACAATAAGCACTGTTCGAACGTACACGTAGGGTGACGTTATAGAGGGTCACCATAGCAACAGACTGTAGGCTTTTCCAATTTCTCCCTCTTTCCAGCAGCGTATTAGCCCCTCGCAGTGTTCAGAACCCCCTCCAGTATCCGTCATTTTCGTTTCTTCCTCTTCTTTTTCCTTTCTCCCTCTCCCCCCACCACTCCTGTTCACCGATGCAATCCATTCTATGGATCTTTCATGGTCGCTCAACAATGTTCACTCACCGCTGTGCAAGCTGATTTCCGCTGAAAGACTCTCGGCGGTGCCGCCGCTCGTTCGAATACGTCATTCACAGGGTGGAATCATGCTCGTGTCGAGGCCAGGCGCGTGCAATCCATGGTTGCACTCGGTGTAGTTTTCCTCTTCATTTACTTTCACGTCTAAGGCCCGACTCGCACTACCGTGACGAGCACCGCTGTGATACCGTTGTCACGCGAAACCGGCCCTTAACGACCGTGGATCCGCCGCTTTCGAGGGTACCACTCGATGGCGATTCGAGCAATAAACATTATTTACGGCCGACTAGTTTCTCTCCTAGCAAGAAACGCGAAAGAGAAGAAAAAGAAGAAGTACGGGGAGAAGTCTCGCCTACGCCGATCTATAGGATCTACTGCGAAAGGCGTAAGCTCTTGAGAAGGGTGATTCCTGTGATCCTTTGACGTTAACATTTTCCTTAGCGAAAATCGTCTTCGCGGGTTTGTTTACGAGTTATTAAGGAAAAACACGAACCAATCAGAGAGCGAGTACGACCTACAAATTCTGGCGCGATGGCGGGCTATGCCTAGCACAGTGTCGTTGGCTGTACTCGCCCTCATTTTTAGCTACGCAGTCAATATTCATTTTATAAATCACAATTCGTCTCTAAAATCGTCCATCATAGTCAAACGTGGAATAAACTGCACGAAACGCTAGGCATACGTGAAGCGCATATGTATTTCGAATATGAACCTACTTTTTTAAATAAAACACTTGAAATATACTTGTATGTCGTAATAGTTGTCCACTCCACTTCTATAATGAAAATCAGAAGTATAAGCAGTCGAGTGGACACTTATTATGGCCATGAGTGTATTTCAGATATATAGATTTCTCATTTTTGTGAATACAAAATTGTGGTTGTAATAATATATTTCTTAATGTTTTTCATCTTTCGAATTCGCTTGTTTATAAGTCCCGCCAATTTTTCAAATCGGATCGCACGCGGGATTTTTAATTCGAATTGTAGATATAAATATTTGTGTTTTGTAAATTGTTGTAGTGAAAGAACCTTTGTAAATGTTAATCATATTGTATGTAATTGTTTGTGCCTATGTATTTAGTAAAGATTTCCTAATAACAATTAAACATATTAAAAGACTGTAACAAGTACATACATTTTGATTAAGTGCTAGCAAATAATTTTTCCGATGTTATGCTTACTAAAATAACAATAAAAATATCAATTGCACAGACGTTGAAATTAAAAACTACACACTTAGAATAATTACTGAAAAATAGAAAATAATAATTATCATATTGCAATATCTCATTCAGTACAAATTTATTGGTTCATATAAATAAACATATAAATAAGAGTAACTATTTATGAATACTATTATAATACCTGATGTGTTAATACTTTTTAAATTTAACAGTTTATAATGAAAATTTCGATAGTTTTCATAAGGAATGTAATCAAATTTATATGTTTTGCGTAAACATTTCTTTACATCAACTAAAATAAATAGTGATGGGAAATGTTCTTGTTAGTTAAATAGTACGTCTCAAAAACAGTCTTAAATTAATTAAAAGCGGTAAGTTATACTTCCTTTGATTTTAATAAGCTAACTCGTAATATGAGCAGATCAACTGATACGTCTAATAAACTTTAAAAGACAGGACTTTAACGAGATAAATGTATCTCGATAAGACTCTTTTTAACATTCCCACACTGCAGACAATGTGAAACCAGAAATGTATTTTTGTGTGAAACTCGTTGTTTGGTCTATTCATTGACCAGCACAAAATAATGACTAATGTAATCTTGATTTGAGATCTGTTATAAACAGTATAATAATTGCCTCAATACCCATGTTATACGTTTGCTTATGTTATATTTACAGAAGTGGAATGATAAATGAACATAATGAAAAATGCAAAAATTTCACACAAGCAACAGTTATAAATCCAATTTTCAAACAAAAAGGGAAATTATAATACATTCAACTATACAAATACAAAATTAACAATAAAAAAAGAACACAAAATGTAATCAAAAATTATCACTTTGGTCACTAGGAATTTATCATGATCTGCATAACACTCATCTGCTTAAATGAAATCTTATAATTAAAAATCACAACATAATCGACTTATACAGTAGTAATGACTGTGAATCAAACCATATTTCACATGAAATCAATTATGGTTAAATTTACAAATGAACAATTTCGAAATCAGACTTATTGGACGTGTGAGTAATCATTAAATTAACTTATAAAATTTTACTTATGGAAGTTTCATTAATAAAAGATAAACTTGTCTATAGTTTAAATCTTAAAAACTATTGTCACATTTTTAGTTTGATTATTAAAATGTTCGATACTGGAAGTTAAACCGCTACACATTTGTAAATCATGTTCGCAGATTTTGTCATGATATGAAGGCGTCAAACATTTAAGTGGGTTATTATATACGTCGTACATTCGCATAATAACAGAGCAGGAAAAGTCAGATACCATATTAACGAGAGTAAATGCTACCGCTTCTTCTTCATGCCTTTGCGATATCCTTTGCCGAACCATCCTGGATTTTTAGGTGGTGCAATCGGAGAGTCGGTCTCGATCACCAATGTTTCCGAATCTTTTATCTGTTTACTATCAGATTCTATTAAAAGATTATCTGTATCTCGTTGATAATAAAGACATGTGAGAGAACCCTCGTTTTCCATACAAAAAGTACAGGCTGGCTTCGGTTTTGGCATGTTTATGGCCATATCCGGTATTTGTATAAACGGATAATAAAACAGTGGTGTTAATTGAGGGCACATGTACATTGGTGGAAATGGTAAACCCATGGATAAAAATGGTAATGCAGTAAAAAAAGGTGCAGAATAAGAAGACATAGATTCAGTTAGTTTTTTAGGAGAGATGCAATCCTTTTCCTCTTTGGTTTCGGGTTCCATATCTTTTTGAAAGTTGTCGTTCGTAATTTCAGTCAGCTCTTTATGAGTAACATTAGACGGTTCTTCCAAACAGGGCTGACTTGTTGTACATTGTTCATTACTCTTGAGTCGCACAGCATGAAAAAATATTGGATCCTTAGCACGATTATATTGCGGTATCTCTAATCCAAGATGAGCCATGATTCTTCTCATCACATCGTCGCATTTTCCATTTATTTTTAAAACTGCATTCTCGTCTTTCGGAGTCCACTGCAAGTTTACAATATACAGAGAAGGACGTTTATGAATCGGCCTGTCCATCTGCCACAACCACGGATACTTTTTTAGAACTTTTAAACTGGAACCTAAACATAATATAACGTCCGCTTGTTTCGCTGCTCTTGTCGCACCGTTCCAATTAATCGGCCACGGGAGATTGCCCCTTTCACCGAAATGAACGATCGAGTCTTGCAAAACAGTGTTACATCTATCACAGAATCTACCAGTACCGTGTGAATACCGAGCAGTCTTTTCTGTAACATCAAACAGTCTCCAATATTCTCTATATGGTTTACATGTTCTACATACTTCCACGTACATATTCCCATGAACTTCAGACAAAAGCGTACGAGGTACCCCACTGCGCAAATGAAGTCCGTCACAATTTTGAGACACTACGTGTTTTAAAACACGTGCCTTATACAAGGCATAGAGAGCCATATGCGTTAATGTTGGCTCTGCTAGACTTAAGTCATGGTTTCTGTAAATATATATTTATTAAATGACAATATTAAGAGCGATAACAAATTGTTAAGTACAGTTGAATCTTGGTAAATAATTTATTACAGTTTCAAACTCAAAAACTTAATAAGACATAGCAACTGAAAGATTTTGACTGTTCTATTTGGGTTTGAGTTACTGAGATTCAACAATATTACTAATTTTGATGTTACCCAATGTCTTTTCCTTGCTGTAAACGAGTCCAAACACCATTGGTACCTCTATAATCAGGAATAGAAGCAGCTGTACTAATACCAGCACCAGTATAGACAGCCAACGATGATGCTCTGCTGATTGCTGCAGCCAACCGCATGCACTTCTCCTCCAAGATTTCTGGTGCATCTTCTACTTCCTCTAATCTTGCCTTTACCCTATGCCTTTTCGCTTGTCTAGTCAACCAATCGAAAAGATTTAATTAATAACACATTATGATTACATTTCAATAATACTGTTAACAAAATTTATATGAATTTTACCTATAATATCAATGGTTCATGTTTTACTACTAATAACACGAAATAAATGAATATGCTCATAAATGTAGATTCAATGATTTCCAAAATGGCTATACCTTAAATTAACCTCTTTTACTACGTCACAGCAGGAAAGAAGTATCCCGTTTTCTTCTGCAGTTCTGTCTGTTTCACATTTTTGTAAAATTGCTGCAACCTGAAAAAATCAAACACTGCAGTATTCTATGGGTGTTGTTTACGCTACATCAGTTTTAACACCGGGAAAAATATAGAAAAATGTTGGTTAAAGATCGTTTTGAAGCGATTACGATTGAGCAGTATATATTAAAATTACGTATGTACTTTCTTAAACGTTGCCACTCGTTCATCTTTAACTTTGAAAGCTTTAAGTGCAGCAGAACGCCTTCTCGATAGGAACTTCTCGTTACCAGCCTCCTCCATGTTTAATCAAGACGGCTGTAACACAGAATCGTTCGAGTGTTGCTAAAATAACACAAATGTCATAATAATGTGTTATAACAGTCTGTTTCAGAAATTTCAACGAAAATTAAATTCTAGTATACATAAGATATGTGGATTGATCGATAAAATTTATTTTAATAAAACATAAAAATATTATATTCAATCCACCAAATCTTATGTATTAAATATCAGATTTATATAATATAAAACTTAATACGTAGTTTATTTCATGTTTACAATATTCCTATAGTATTAATGCGATTTCATTGTAAGATTACAACTATCTTAATATTAATTTATCAGCATGATATTTATTATTTTATCACTGTAAT